AATTAATAAATGGGACCTCTTGAAACTGAGAAGCTTCTGCAAGACAAAGGACACAGTCAACAAGACAAAACAGCAGCCAACAGAATGGGAAAAGATATTCACCAACCCCACATCTGACAAAGGGTTGATTTCCAATATATACAAAGAACTCAAGAATCTAGTTACCAAAACACCAAATAATTCAATTAAAAAGTGGGGTACAGAACTAAATAGAGAATTCTCAATGGAGGAATCTAAAATGGCTGAAAGACACTTAAGAAAGTGCTCAACATCCTTAGCCATCAGGGAAATGCAAATCAAAACAACTCTGAGATACTGTCTTACTCTTGTCAGAATGGCTAAAATCCAAAAACAGCAAAGACAGCACACTCCTCCACTGCTGGTGAGAGTGAAAACTCGTACAGACACTTTGGAAATCAGTATGGCAGTTCCTCAGGAAAATGGGAATTAGTCTACCTCAAGACCCAGTAATTCTTAGGCATATACCCAAAAGATGCACATCCATACAAGGACATCTGTTTAACTATGTTCATAGCAGCATTATTTGTAATACCCAGAACCTGGAAGCAACCTAGATGTCCCTCAACTGAAGAATGGATAGAGAAAATGTGGTATATTTACACAATATAATACTACTCAGCAGAAATTAGCAGGGAAATGGGTGGAACTAGAAGAAACCATCCTGAGTGAGGTAACCCAGTCACAAAAAGACAAACACGGTATGTACTCACTCATATATGGATTTTAGACATAGAGCCAAGGGTTATCAGCCTAAAATCCACGCTGCCAGAAAAGCTAGGAAACAAGGAGGACCCTAAGAGAGACATACATGGTCCCCTGGAGAAGATCTGTGCAAATTGAGAGCATGGAGGGAGGGGAGAGGGACTTAGGAGAAAGAGAAGTAGAGAAGAGGGGAGAGAGGGAACAGGAAGCTTGAGACAGGGAAAGAATAGAGGAGAACAAGAAAAGAGATACCATAATAGAGGGAGCCAATATAGATTTAAGGAGAAATCTGGCACTAAGGAAATGCCCAGAGATCTACAAGGATGAACCCAACTAACAATCTAAGCAATAGTGGAGAGGCTACCTTTAATGCCCTTCCCTAATGAGATTGTTGACTACCCTATATGCCATCCTAGAGCCTTCAACTAGTAACTGATGGAAGCAGAAGCAGACACCCACAGCTAGACACTGAGCCAAACTCCTGGAATCCAGTTACAGAGAGGGAAGAGTGATGAGCAAAGGGGTCGAGACCAGGTTGGAGAAAACCAGAGAATCAGCCAACCTGAACAAGGGGGAGGGAGCTCATGCATCCCAGTCTGATAACTGGGAAACCAGCATAGGACCAATCCAGACCTCCTGAATGTGGGTGTTACTTAGGAGGACTGGGCAGTCTATGGGGCCTCTAGTAATGGATCAGTATTTATCCCTAGTATACAAATGGACTCTGGGAGCCCATCCCACATAGAGAGATACTTTCTCAGTCTAGACACACGGGGGGAGGGCCTAGGCCCTGCTCCAAATGACAGACTTTGAACACTTCCCATGGAAGGCCTCACCCTCCCTGATGAGCAGAAAGGGGATGGGATGTGGGTTTGTGGGGCGAACAGAGGAGGACAGGAGGGTTCAGGAACTGGGATTAACATGTAAAACAAGCTTGTTTCAAATTTAAATTTAAAAAATCTAAAAAACAAAACAAATAAATAAAAAAATAAAATAAAGCTGCATGTGTGTGGTGAACACATAGCTGTCTTTACCAATTACCAACAAACACTCATTTCTTCTTTCTAAAGGAGGATGGCAAATGGATTTGATTTTCCTGGGCATTGATTTTCAGAGCTATAGATGTACTGAGGACAGGGTTTCAGTCTCACCTCCCCAACTATAGCAGCCCAAGGCTTTGCCCTTGTGAAAACATTAGAATCTACTCCTAAGTTTAGGAGCACTGCTCTCTTGCCCTGCCCCTCAGCTTCTGTGTGTTCGCCAAAGTCCACTGCTCAAAGTCTTCAAGTTCAGTCCTTGCTTTTTTCTCCTGGGAACTAAGGGACTGCTTCTGTCTGTCTCATGGCTGTGGTTACACACTTAAAAGAAATCTTCAGTTCTGCTTTCTTCATTCATTTTGCTTGGGAAGATCCTATTGGGGATTTCAGGAACACATAGCAAAGTGAAGAAAAGTGGGAGAAGTAGTAAGAAAGGCAGGAGGGACTCCTCCATGGGTAGCAGTTCTAGAGGGAGCCCACATTTGGCACTGCAATGGTTAAGCTGGTGAATTTGTTTCTTAAGAGGCACCTGAGACTCTTACCCCATCTCCTCTGTTGGTTGGGAGTTTGGTGGTCTATGGAACCCCAAGAGTTCTTATGGAAAGAAAGATAGAGATCAACTGTAGAATCTAGCACAGTGATTCTCAACTTGCTAATGCTGCCACTCTTTAACACAGTTTCTCATGTTGTGATTACTTGCAAAGATAAAATTATTTTGTTACTGCTTCATAACTGCTGTTGCTACTTCATAACTTTTGCTGGTGTTATGAATCATAATGTAAATACCTGTGTTTTCTGATGGTCTTAGGTGACCCCTGTGAAAAGGTCATTTTACTCCCACAGAGGAGTTGTGACTCATAGGTTGAGAACCACTGATCTCGAATGTTGTCTGCATTCCACATCTTGAGATCTGAGGGTTTGGTAAGTACCCCTGAGATGTATTATTTAAAAAACTGGAAGAATTACAAAAAAGACTAATATGTGTGCTGATCCTCTCCTTGACTGTATCTGGAAGCAACAAGAAGACAACTACTAGGCCACCCTCTAGGGGATTTTTGATCAAATTACTTGAGGCCCAGATAAAAAGACAGAAGAGACACTTTTCCTTATTCCTCCTTGCCTTCACCTTCTATGTCAAATTCTATACTTCTCAGCCACTGCTGACTCTTTGAACTTAGGAGCAGCTTCTCCTGGCCTGCATTGCAACTGAAGATCAGTGGCTCTCCAGGAATCATCCAGGCCTTCAGCACCTGTGTAGTGGAATAATCTTTTTGTACACAGTGAAGATGCATCTCTCTGGTTGGTTTAACAAAAGCCTGAACAGTCAATACCTAGGCAGGATTTCCAGGTTCAGAGGACACTGGGAAGAAGAAGAGTCACCAGCTACACACAGATGAAGCAGGAAAGCAGCATGGGCAGCACAGAGAAAAGGGAATAAAGCCACAAGGCAGAAAGTAAATTAATAAAATGGGTTAATTTAAGTTATAAAAGCTAGTTAGAAGCAAGCCTAAGCTATCAGTCAAGCTTTCATCATTAATAACAAGCCTCTGTGAGGTTACTTGGGAGCTGGCTGGCAGGACAGAGAAAGACTCACTACACACCAGGCTGGAACTACTCAGGACTGAGTCTATTGGAGTAAACAACACTGGGTGTTTGGTCTTTCCAGTGTGAGACAGCCATTGGTGGACTACCCCAACCATTATTATAGATCCCAATACAATAAGTCCCTTTTAACAATCTGTTCTGTTCTCTAGAGCAGTGGTTCTCAACCTTCTTAATGCTGTGACACTTTAATATAGCTTCTCAGGTTGTGGTGACCTCCAACTATAAAACTATTTGTTACTTCTTCATAACTGTAATTTTGCTACTATTATGAGTCATAATGTAAATATTTGATATGTGACCCCTTTGCCATGACATTGACAACCACTGCTCTAGAGACTTCTGATTAATATAAAGACAACAGACTAAAACACATGTCAATAAGAACTTGACTTTAAGCTCCAAACAAAACTTGGGAGCCTATGGCAAGCATATGCAACCCCAGGTGTTGTGGGTTGAATAGGAATGGCTCCCACATGTGAATGTTTAAGGTGGCAGTAGGTGGTGTGCCCTTGTAGGAATGGGTGTGGCCTGGTTGGAGAAGGTGTGGTTTTGTTTTGGTATATACAGCCTTGTTGGAAGAAGTGTATCACTAGGGGTGGGCTTTGGGGGTTTCAAATGCTCAAGCAAGGTCAAGTGTCTCACTTCGTGCTCCCTGTTGATCTTAATGTAGAACTCTCAGCTACCTCTCCTCTACCATGTCTACCTGCAGGTGGCCATGCTTCCTGTCATGAGATCCTACCTCAAAAATCAAGGTAAACAGTAATAGAGGAAGACACCTGATGTTGGTCTCTGCACATATGTACATGTACATGCATGCACACTAAAATACATGAGCACATCTCTCCTGAACACACACACACACAGAGAGGGGGTGGGGAGAGAGAGAGAGAGAATACAGACTAAAGCAAAACAAAGTAAAAGAGTTACCACACAAGTGTAACAAATTATATCAGAGATAAAGTAATACATAATGTGTACATGGAAACCATAAAAAGAGAGAACTAGAGAAACCATCCACCTATCCATCAAATTCACTCAACAAAGACTCTTTGAGCATCTGTTATAATACAGATATTTCCAGGAATCAGAAATTCTGAAATAAGCTAAATCCAGCCCTGATTTTAAGAAGAGCATTCTTTAGCAGGAGAAGCAAATGAAAACTGGCCACTCATAGGGGCTGGAGAAATGGCTCAGTGGTTAAGAGACTGGCTTTTCTTCCAGAGGACCTGGGTTCAATTCCTAGCACCTACATGGCAGCTCACAACTGTCTGAAACTCCAGATCCAGGGGATCAGAAAAATAGCCACTCGGAATGGTGTGTCTAAAGAAGCACGGATAACACAGGATACTCAGTTAGGATTAAATATCAAATAAACAATGAACAATTTTAAAGTAAGGATCTGTCGGGTTTTTAAAAAATCATTTTCCCCTAAAACCTAGTAACCATAAATACTGGACTACAAAGGAAACTTCTAGAAGAGAAAGTATGAAAGCTGACAAAATTAGCATGCCATGGTTTTGGATGGTTTGGATGCTGTGTCATTCCTGCGGACAATGTAAGGAATATGCGGTTCTCCCATCACAGTGGCTGAGTACTCAGAATCTCCTCACCATGCCCTTGAACCATGAGACTTACAGAATAAAGGTTTGTGGGCGAGGTCATCTAATGTAATCCCTCCATCCGGATTGAGCTCAAAGCTGCTAGTAAAGTTGTACTTTGCAGTTCCTTCCGGAGAGACAGTGATTTTTGAAGAGTCTCCGAGAACTGCCTGATTGAATTCTGCACGAACAAAAGTAACTGGAGTGTCTCCTTTAAAGCCTTTCTGTGGGCAGAGAGAGCATGTTACAGTTTCAAAGACACGATTTTTCCACATATCTAGCAATCTATCTTGACCTGAACTAAACATCATTTTGGTTTTTTCTCTAACAAACTACACCACAAATACAAATGGGACAAGTAGAAAATCATTAAACAAATGAAGTTTTAAGTAGATGCAACATTCTACTTAAGTATTATTTATGTTAAAGTTGAAAAAGATATCACTTCTTGTATTATCTGATTATAAAATTATACTACCAAATGTATACATTTTTATATACAAATTATTAAACAAACAGAGTTCATTAACTATGCCCCCCCCTTTTTTTGAGATAGGGTTTGTCTGTGTAGCCCTGGCTGTTCTGGAATTCACTCTGTAGACCAGACTGGCCTCAGACTTCAGAGATCCACCTGCCTCTGCCTCCCAAGTACTAGGATAAAAGGCATGCACCACCACTGCCCAGTTAACTATGCCCTTTTAAAGAACAGCTCTGTAAACTTCAGGACAGTGAATATTTTTATGTTTAATTCTTAATCTAATTTTTAGTAGTTATTGCAGGTCTATTATTTGAAATCCTAAAATGAAAGTAATCATTGAGAGAATTCAGGAAGTTTAGAACCTTCTCAGAAAATAGGAAAAAAAGAAATTATAAGCCAGATGTGGCAACTCGTGCTGTAATTTCATCATCTAGGAGTTTGAGACTGGAGGATTGCTGTGAACTTGAGGCCAGACTGACATAGCAAAATTGTCTCAGAAGAAAGGGAGGAGGTGAAGGAAATCACTTAGCATAACAGAAATGACTTTGTGGCGGTCTGAATGATGTCCCCCAAAAATTCATAGGGAGTGGCACTATTAGAAGGTGTGGCCTTGTTGGAGCAAGTGTGTCTCTGGGGGCAGGCTTTGTGGTTTCAGATGCTCAAGCCAGGCCCAGTGTCTCTCTCTTCCTGTTGCCTTAGGAACAAGACATAGAACTCTCAGCTCCTTCTCCAGCACCCTGTCTGCCTGCATACCACCATGCTTCTCACCTTGATGACAATGGACTAAACCTCTGAAATGTGAGCCAGCACTAATTAAATGTTTTCCTTTATGGTCATAGTGTCTCTTCAGGGCAACAGAAACCCTAACTAAGACAGATTTGTTTCAACTCTCAAATTTAGCATCCAAAAGGCCAGATAGTTTGGGTGTGCAACATTATGATTTGCTGAGTATAAAGTAACAACAGGGAATAATGGGGAGAAGATCACTATGCTTAGACTGAGAAAAAAGATACAAAATGTCAGTCTTCCCCTCCCCCCATGCTCCTAAATAGGGACTTTGTGGTGGGTTTCCGAGAATCAATTTACCAAATCATATCCATTTGTCACAGTAATGTGCACCGTTCTGCCTGCTGATGACACCTGCTCCATGTCAGCACTTGGTCAAAGTCTCTCTGGTTTTCTTCGGCCTCTGTAAAGGTAACAAATAAGTCTGTGTCCTTGTGTACTACATAATAACCAAGACCACTGGAACTGCAGGCACATCATAGGCCAGCTTTGTTCATTCCTGCTTCATAGCCTCTGCTACTGGAAAGGATAGGCTTTCAGGAGTTGTCACAAGCATGAATCCACTAACTGATGCTCAAAGTGCCTAAACCAATGACTAAGCATTCCACCCACATTTTCTCTAGTCTGAGAAGTTTGTTTTACAAACAACAAAGGCATGTGTCTCTATTTTCAAATAATTTTACAAACAATTTCAAAAGTAAATTGTCTGGGTCTAGAGAGATGGCTCAGCAGTTAAGAGCACTGGCTGCTCTTTCAGAGGCCCTGAGTTCAATTCCCAGAAACCATGTTGGCTCACAGCCAGCTATAGTGGCATCTGAAGCCCTCTTCTGGAGTGCAGGTGCATATGCAGATAAAGCACCAAATACATTAAAAAATAAATCCTATTTTTTAGAAAGTAAATTGTTCGGGTGTGGTGGCACACATCTATGTAACCTCAACACTTAGGAAGCTGAGGCTGGAGGATTGTGATTTCTAGTCTAAGTAATGAATTCAAAACCATTTACCCAAGGCTACACAAGGATAATTGAGGGGAAAAAAGACAAACATCACATGTTCCCCCTCATGTGTAGAACCTAGCAGACATGGAACTATGTTGGGGTGAGGGTGGAAAGTGATGAGTCAGGGACAAACAATGGAGAGTATCTAAACAATGACAGAAACAAATGGATCTGTCATAAAGAAACACATTGTTTTATATGTTTACTGAAAATAAATTTAAAACCCAAAGTGGAACTTAGCTGTAAGGACATACTGTGCTAAGTCTATCTGGAACAGGCAATGTAAAAGAGAAGACAGCCACTTGCAGACTTCAGACTTCATATCACTCTGCCTTTTCCTAGCGACTCCTTCATCTCACAATTTTCTAAAAGCCTGTACTTCACCCGCATGCTTCCAGACTCTTTCAGGGCCTCCGTGGCACTGCTGATTTCCATATCAAATGTGTATCAAATGTCTTTTTATGTCAACCCCTTTCTCTCTGGTCATTTCATTTATGTTCCCTGTACTAAACTAACATGTCTTTGAGTCTCTCTGATTCCTTTTTACATGTGAGGGACACATGTAAATAGACCAAATATAAGGTCTGAGAAATGAACACACAAGTCAGTATAGGCAGTGCTAGGGTACACAACCCAAAAACATCATTTGTGGGAAAAAATAAAAATAAAAACTCTCAGAGCATCCTGAGCAGATGCTATCTCAGGCCAGCCCATGAGCCACTGGCATCTGTACAGAGGAGAGGCATGGTAGCAGCACAGTTGGGTAGAAAAGAGGAAGAGGAAAGAGAATGTTTAGCAGAGAAGTAGAAGGCTTGGATATATGGTAACTCCTTTCATTTGCCTGTCCACTGGCAGTAACTGGAAAGATCCCATAAAATATTGGGATCTAAAGAGCCTTTAGATAGCCAATTTGGACCATTTCTTAGTCCAGTGGTAAGTGAGTCTGGGGGCCTTCACAAGTGGCATGACATTAAGTGAAGGGGTTTTAGATTTTCTAACAGGCATCCTAGTGGAATGTATACACACACACGCGCACACACACACACACACACACACACACACACACACACACACACTCACTCACATTTCCCATGGAAAGGTGGAGAGAAAAATAATGCTTCAGGTCATTCTTGCAACTCTTCAGCCCAAGAATAAAGGCCAAGGGCTAAGCCAGATATGACACTTTAGTCTGAGAGAAGGCAGTAATCTGTAACCACTGAAGGCGTGAAGCCGAAAGTCAAGTGTACTGTCCAGTGAGGTTGGTGCCTGTAGGAAGTTGACCTTGAGGTGATTGTTAGCAAGACCAAAAGGTAGAAGTTTTGTGAGAGGTACCCTGACAGAGAATTGGGGAATGGGGAGGAAACTAACTTTTGATTATGATTTGCTACATACTGAAGCCTTTATGTGTGTCACATAGGAAAAAGAAAAAAGTTTTAGACAGACAAGTTTTTTTGTTTGTTTTGTTTTGTTTTTAATCTTACCAGCCCATCACATATCAGGGAGTGTGTGAAGCTGGGATCTAATTGAATCTGAGACTGTATGTGTACCTGTGCATACCAGGAAAATCTCCTCATGTGAGGCGACCCAGAGCTAAAAGAATAGTTTAAGATGAAGGTTGTTATAGGCAGAAAGAAAAGGCTGCAAATGGCTCAAAGGACCAGAAAGCAAATCAAACTTGATGTGAGAATAGATCTGGAGATCAAAGCAGGTCAATACTGTCCAGCTGTAGTACCTAAGTCCAACACTCCCACCTCAGCAGTCCAGACAGTTTTTTCCCTCATCTAGTCTGTGATCTGGCTTAGGTTGGTCCCCTCCCCTCCCCGCCCCGCCCCAGTGTATACACACACCTCAGAACCTCCTTCACATTCTTTGATTTCCTATTTATTTTTCTTCTGTCCCCTGCCCCTTTTAAGCCAGATACCAATGCTATTCATTCACTTTAAATATTTCCTATCCATGAAGGTTCTCTTGCACTCGGGAATCTTCACCGAGGCAGTAAATTCAACCCTTTCTCCCTCCGGGACATCTGCTTTGTGAGGGTGGAGGTTTTCTTGTTTTCCTCCTTGTGCTAGGCACACAACAGAGCCTCACCCATGCTGTGCAAGCAGTTCACTGAATTAGATCCACAGTCCGAGAAGTGGAGACTTAAGACATTTCCTGCTGAGTAACTGTGACCTTGGACAAATGCCTAACCCCTGCTCTTGCACACAACAAGGCACGCACTTCTTGTCACGCGCGCGCAGAAGCAGCCGCGCCTCGAGCTGGGCTCCGGGTGAGGCGAGATCGTGAGCAAAGCGGAGTTGGGGGGAGTCCTCGGCAGCACCGGGAGTGTCAACCTGGCCTTAGCTGAAGGGGAAGAGTGGGGAAGCCTGGAAGAGATCTGGAGAGTAGGAGTGACAGCTTTACCTAAAGCCTCTGGGGAGTAACTATCTTACCTGAGACAGAAACAGGTTGTTGTTTTCTGTAACTATGGCAACCGGTCACCTCTCGCGAGAACTTGTTTTTCCAGTCTCGCGGAAGCCAAGGCCATGCTCATATTCTGAAAACCACGCCCCTTGGGTGCTGTGTCTCTTTTCAAGTTTGGGTAAAAGTGTAGCTTTCCACTTTTCAATTTGTTTTCTCAACTCATGATTTACACACACACACACACACACACGCACACACACTACAAAGTGTAGCTTTCCACTTTTCAATTTTGTTTTCTCGACTCTTGATTTCAACACACACACATTACACACACCACACAAATATAACGATAAAACTAAAAGGAACTTTTATTAGAGAAAAAGCCCAGTGAGACCAGGCCAAGAATCAAACAAGAACCAATAAGAAAAAAAGCCTTTACTAAACACATGCTAAACATACATATGTCTTTTTAGCAGGATGCCCTGGCTCTTACCTCTAGTACCACTTAATTGGGAGACTGAGGCAGAAGGATTGCTTGAGTGGCTGGCCATTTGAGACTAGCCTGGACAATATAAAAGTCGTCTTCCCTTCAAAAGTATACTAATAATTTAGGTCTTTTCTCAAAACATCTGTATCCTAAATGATTCAGCAGTTAAAAGTACTGCCTGTGGCTGGGCATTGGTGGCGCAGCATTTAATCCCAGCATTCAGGAGTCAGAGACAGGTGGATCTCTGTGAGTTCCAGGCCACAGTGGCCTACAGAGAGAGTTCCAGGACAGCCAGGGCTACAGAGAGAAACCCTGTCTCAAAAAAAAAAAAAAAAAAAAAAAAAAAGAAAAAGAAAAAAAAGAAAGGGGGCTGGAGAGATGGCTGATGGCTTAGTGGTTAAGAGCATTGACTGCTCTTCCAGAGGACCTGAGTTAAATTCCCAGCACCCACATGGCAGCTCACAACTGCCTTTAACTCCAGTTATGTGGCAAAACACCAATGTACATTAAAAAAATAAAAAACAAAACAAACAAACAAAAAGAGAAACAGATAGTACAAGGCAAAGCAAATGAATTGAGAGTTGACAAATATGCACTTAACAGATATGACCAACAGGTTTTGAACAAGCATGCTGTAAAAAGAGGTAAAGAACACTCAAGTGTACCCTGTCTACCTTGGTGCAGCAATTTGTTTTAGACTTACTTGCAGGACATGAATAACTCAAGTGCTTGCTATACAACTGGGAGGATCTGTGTTCTATGTAAGGAGTAGGTTTTTTTTTTTTTTTTTTTTTTTTGGTCCGTCGCCGATGGTCTTGTTTTGTCATCATGCCAGCTCCAATTAACACACAGAGACTCTGTATTTGATATAAATGTTGTTGGCCAGTTACTAGTTTTTTATTGGCTAGTTTTAATTATTAACCCATTTTTGTTGATCAATGTATTTTTACGTGGTCTTACCAGCGAGAGGCGGCTGGCGGTTCTGCCTTCTCCAGACTCTCCATCTTGACTCCTCATTACTACTTTCTCTTTCCTCCTTGTCTCCTAGTCCCTCCTATCTTCCTTTCCTATTGGCCAACAGTGCTTTATTCATTAACAAGTATGAGAAATATATTTACATAATGGCATCTCCCATCAGTTCTATTTAGAGTTCATGTAAAATTGGCCCTGTAAACATTGCTGGGGATTCTGGGAGCCACAGAATACTGAGTGTTACAGCTCAGATGGAAAGGTATTCTGGCATTCGGGAGCCAAAAAATACCACAGGTCATAGTAAATGTAGCTGCCCTGCCTTGCAATGCTACAGATTTCCCATCCCTGAGCCCAGACTGACTAGATTTCCTCCTGCTCAGGGATTGGTTAGTTTTCTGCACAGGTTTAGGGTCAGATTTGGCTCTGGTTTTAGGGTCAGGGTGCATTTCTTTGGTTCTGGTTGCAGAGCCAAAGTGTGTTTCTTTGGCTCTGCTTAGGCTGTTTCTTTTTTTTTGACTGGCACTTTTTCTTTACACACCCTAACTGATCCCCA